AGCACCCGCGGGGGCGACCCGGGCGCCCTGCCCCCCCCCCTTCCCCGGGAGCCACCGCAAGGGCCGCGCAGGCGCAGGGCAGCAGCGCTCTGCGGGAGCGTAAAAATCTTCGTTGCGCGGACACCAGACCCCGCGGGTGTGAGCGGGCGCAGTGGTGAGCGGGGACTGTCCGGGGCGTGGGGAGGGGACCGCAGGGAAGCGCAGGGCCCTCCCTCCGGGCGCGGGTGTCGGGCTCAGATCAAGGCTGCGAGGGCAGGGCCGGCCCTGGAGAGAGGTTCCCCCTCTCGGCGTAGAGGGAGGAAGCAGGATTAGAGGGGTGACGTGATTTGCCACAGCCCACAAGCGAAGGAGCTGGAATTCAAACCCAGATCCCTTTTTATTCCAAATCTCACACTCTTTCAAGCATAATACTGCTTAAAAACAATTGGGTTTGCTCTTCCCTCCATGCTTCGCGACGCCAGCGTAGCCTTTCGGACCATGCGGGCTGTGCACGCACAGGGTCTCTATTTTTTGTAAAAATTGTTCAGCGGGCCCGGCGGGGTGACTCAGCATCTGCTGAGCATCGACCTGGGATCCAGGAGATCGCGGTTGGATTCTGGTCGGGGCTGTGCCTGGGTTGCTGGCTGGATTCCCCGTGGGGGGCGTGCAGGCGCAGCTGATCAATGACTCTCTCAACATTGGTGTTTCCATCTCCCTCTCTCCCCCTTTTCTCTCTCTGGAATCAATAAAGACATATTTTAAAAAAATTGTTCAGTGGTTCGTGCAAGTTCTAGAATTCTGACCATGGGACGGAGGCTTCCAGATCACTTGCTCACTCCAGTGTTTTCTGTGCAGCATCTCCAGGGAGCACAGAGGTGACACCTGTGGAGCCTCCAGCTGCCTGCTGAGGAGACAGATGGTGCTCAAGATGGAAGGTGGGCCTGGAGAGCCTCGACACTAAAGGGTCCAGACTCCGGATTTGGGCACTGTATGTGGCGCTGCATGTTCCCTGGTTGTGGAGAGGGAAGACACCCATACAACTGTGAAGCCTCCATGTAGTTTTTGGCAGTGTCCTCATCAAAGGTGGAGGAGCCCAGTCAGGGCTCTGCCTTGTGGTGCCAAGGCGGAGAGTCCCCAGGAGGGAGTGCTGAAGCCATCGCTGCAAAGCTCCTGCCCACCCTGCCCACCCAGGCCAGCACCTGGGTGAAGCTGCACCTTCCAAGGAAGGCCAAGGAGGGAGACCCCCCTGGGAGGGTGTGTGTTTGAAGGAGAGGTGAGAATAGACTGATGGGTGGAAGGAAGGAAAAGCAACACCCTCTAGTGTGAGAAGGAAGGTAGACACCTGAGCAGAGGCATATCTTGGGGCGACAGTTGAGTAAGAGGTTTCTAGGGTTCTTGTTTGTGGCTCCTGGCCTGAGATTTTCCTGAGTATTGGCGGTCAGTTCAGCCTAAAACCAGTATTTCAGTGTCATGTCTGTATGTTATTTCTTTTTATCTTCTCCACGGGTATGTGGGGCAGGGTGGACTTGCGTGATTTTACTAATTTTACAGCGAGGAAATGTGAATCAAATGAGAGACCTGGCCAGGTAGTTGGTGGCTAGATCAGAAGTAGAAGGCAGCAGGGAGAGTGCCAGGTAAGCCTGGAGTATCTTGTGTTAGAAAGCAAGGACGGTCTCAGAGACTAATGGACAGTTATCAGATGGATGAAAGAGCCAGGTCCAAGGGGCTTTCACTGGACAAATTTGGGACAGTTTAAGTGTCCAAATTGATTGTAACACCTTGAATAAATAACATTCCACAAGTTCATGATGACATTTAAAATAGAGAAAGAAGGGGAAAAACTCATTTGCCAACATTGGTAGTAATCAAATACACTGATTTCTTACTTTGAAAATAGATTATTATGGGAATGAAGGATGCATTTACCTTGCTTTTTAGATCATTTCCAGTTGTTGATGGAAAGCACTTTACAGAAAAACCTGCCAATAATAAATGTAGATGGAATAATAGAGCATTTTACTGTAAATGAAATAATTGAAAGGTTGATGGGGGACAGGATATTCACATGATGTCAAAGTATCACCCCCACAAATTACTTGCTAGATGCCAAGGAACGAACATACTTTTCCAATGGTGAGATCTGGTGGTCAGATGTTTTTTTTTATTATTATTTGCATTTATTAATTTAGGAGAGAAAGGGGGGCAGGGGAGAGAGAGAGACATCGATTCGTTTTTCCACTTATTCATGCATTCAAACCCACAATCTTGGAGTATCAGGCCGACGCTGTAACCAGATGAGCTACCAGCCAGGGCTAATGATTTTTCTTAATGTGTAAAAAGTATGAGACAGATACTTAAATTTTCAGTAAAGAAAATTTTGTCAGAAATATGGGCTTGAGATGATATGGTGTTAGAATCCTGTCTTCTTTAATTTTATCTCTTGATATTTGTCCTTATAATAATGCTCTCTTCTTACTCCATTTCCTCTTGCAATTTCACATGGATGAACTCTCCCAATATCTTAGTCACCTCCCGTACTGCTAACAACCTCGTTTGATCACTCTTCACTTCCTTTCATATTAGCTTTCTAGGTGGCAGGATCACATTTGAAAATAGTCCAAGCTTCCTATATCTAGTATATATTATTGTTTTTCCATCCTGTTCTCTTTATAGCTATTTCTTTTTTAAAGTGCAATGAATATGGGTCATTTGTATTTTTGGATTTCTTTCAGACTTGGAAAGTAAAATGGAAACCAAAGAGTTAACTTTAAAGAATGACATTTCATGGGAAGAATTACACGATGGTCTAATGATGGAAAGGTCCACAAGAGGAAGCACCTTGTATTCCACACTTGGAAGAGAATCCAAATGTGATAAGTTAGAAAGCCACCAGGAAAACGAAGGAATGGGTGAGGGGCAAATCCCCTTGATCCACAGGAAAACGCTCACTCAGGAGGCAGACCTCAAGAATCTAACAGATTTGAGAAAAGTATTAATGTGAGCTCAGAAGATATTCCAGGACCAGTAGGTCCTCCAAGAAAAAGAGATAATAAATATGACACATCTGGGAAGAGGAGCAGATGCAATTTAGATCTGATGAATCGTTCAAGGAGTTATACAAGAATGAAAACCTTTGAATGTGATATTTGTGAAAAAATCTTCAAACAGCTTATTCACCTTACAGAACACATTAGAATTCATACTGGAGAGAAACCTTTTAGATGTAAAGAATGTGGAAAAGCCTTTAGCCAAAGTTCATCCCTTATTCCACATCAGAGAATCCATACTGGTAAGAAACCCTATGAATGTAAGGAATGTGGGAAAACCTTCAGACATCCATTATCTCTTACTCAACATGTTAGAATTCATATTGGGGAGAAGCCCTATGAATGTGGTGTGTGTGAGAAAGCATTCAGCCAGAGCATTGGGTTGATTCAGCATCTGAGAACTCACATTAGAGAGAAACCTTTTAAATGCAAAAACTGTGGAAAAGCATTTTTCCAGGTTCGAAACCTTAGGCAACATGAGATTATTCATAGTGGTGTGAAACCCTGTATTTGTAATGTACGCAGTAAAACCTTCAGCCATAGCATATACCTGACTCAACATCAGAGAACTCATACTGAGGAAAGACCATATAAATGTAAGGAATGTGGGAAAGCCTTTAGCCAAAGAATACATCTTTTTATTCATCAGAGAGTACACACTGGAGTGAAACCTTATGAATGCAATCACTGTGGGAAAGCCTTTAGGCACGATTCATCCTTTGCTAAACATCAGAGAATTCATACTGGAGAAAAACCTTATGATTGTAATGAATGTGGAAAAGCCTTCAGCTGTAATTCATCACTTAGTAGACATTGCAAAGCACATTTAAGAAATACCTTCAGCAATGCCATGTGAAATATGTTCAACATCAAGGAATCCTCATATTAGAGCAAAAGCCTCTAAATTAGTCGTTTTCTGACTTTTGGGTTTCAAAAACCAATTTTTTATTGGTTTGATCCAATTTTACAACTCTTAGTTTTGTCATATTAAATGAAAACACCTGTTATCAGCATTGTTTCAAAGAGGAAAGGACATTTAAAAATATTTAAAAGTATAGGAAGGATATAATCATAAAGAGCAGACCTTTACATTGAATTAAATCAGCTTTATGAAAACCTCCCAAAATTGTCCTTATTTTTCTCATTTCACTATGAGTCAGTGCAAACTTCATTATGGCAGGTCAGTAATCTGTGGACTGCCTTTTGAGAACCACTGTTTTAAATACCCTTTTAATGAGTCAGAACAAAATGTAATACAGCCTTTTATTATAGCCCTTTATGTGGCTAGAAGAAGCATAAATAAAAATATTGGTTGACTTACTTCTAGAAGATATAATGTTAAAGGGAACTTTCTAGAATTGATAGATAATCTACTGTACGTCTTTAATGGTTTCTTATAGAGAATTGGCAAACTTTTTCTGTAATAAGCCAGATAATAAATATGTTAGGTATTGTGGCCATAAGGCCTCTGTCAGAATTACTCAACTCTACAAATTTGGTGCTAAAGCATTCAGAGACAATACATAAACCAGGGTGTATCAACCTTGGTACTGCTGATATTTGGGGCTAGATACTTTAAAAAAAAAAATTAAAATCTTTTATTGATTTCAGAGAGAGGGAGAGAGATAGGTAGAAGCAACAATGATGAGAGAGTCATTGATCGTCTGCCTCCTGCATGCCCCCTACTGGGGATTGAGCCAGCAACCTGGGCATGTGCCCTGACTGGGAATCGAACTGCAATATCCTGGATCATAGGTCAATGCTCAACCGCTGAGCCACACCAGCTGGGCTGGGGCTAGATACTTTGTTATGGGTGGCTGTCCTGTTCACTGTAGTATGTTTAGCAGTATCTGGCTACAAGATGCCAGTGATAGATGCCAGTAGTTTCCCACCATAGTGAAAACCAAAAGTATCTCCAGACATTCCTAGATGTCCCCTGGGGGGTCAATATTGTCCCTACTTGAGAACTCAGATAAATGAATGGGTATAGCTGTGTTCCAATAAATTTAAAAAACGGGGTTTTGGGTTGCATTTAGCCCAAGGGCTATAGTTTGCCTCTCCTGCTATACAGTATGTAAATGACTAATAATTGCAAGAAACTCATTTAATGTCAAATTAGTATATGTATATCTATGTCATAAGTCTTATCCCCTTATCAATTCCTTTTGTATTTTGTTGCAAGAATATTAAAGAAATCACATTTGTTGTGCAAGACTAGGAATTATTTATGGAGATATTTATACGGACTTCAGTCTTCTGTCTATAATGATGCTTTTTTTGCTCATAAGTACTTTGGGGTGTATCTCTAAAACATAATCACAATGCCATTGTTACACCTAAAAAGATTAGGCCATAATTCCTTAATTCATATTGATAACTTTTTGAAGATATATTGAAATTGGTGGCTGCCATTTTAATTCTTTTTAACTTTCCCTTATATAAGTATATATAGATTTGAAAATGTGCTTTCCATTGATTGGGAGGGACTTTAAGATAGCCCCCAGAAACACACATCTAGGCACCCACCAAAGAGGACCAGGGAGAAGGTGATTACAGAGGCCATATTGTAGTAAGGAGATATGAGAGAGAAGAGGAGGAATTGACTAATCGTACTTTACTACACTTAATAGATACTGCATCCTTTCAAATATAATTGGAGGTAGGTCAAGTTCTACTTATTCTTACATGGCAGAACAATTAAATTGCCTGAGGATTGTAGGTGTAACTATCAAAAGTAAGCTGTAATTCCAGAATGTATAATATCCCTAGATTTTTCTCTATTACTACATTTAATTTTTCTTACTGACCTCTGATTCTTAAGTCCTTGTATGATTTTGATGGGCCAGAGAAGAGAGGGGATACACACTGTTCCTTATGTATGTTATACGACGTTTCTATGGTCTTAGATTCCCTACGAATTGGGTTTCTCTGATTGGTCCTTTCAGTGAAAGGCATGACTATCACTTTTCTCTATAGTCCCTGCCTCAGTGATTTCAGATAGTCTTATGGCATAAAATACCACAGTTCTATTTAACTGCCAAATTCACCTCTCCAGCCCAGACCTACCTCATGAACTCCAGCCTTGTTCTTGACATCGGGCTTTTCCATTAGCTGTTCCTTTAGATATCCTAAACCCTTACCTCCTCATCTTTGCTCAAATATTACCTTTTCACTGAAGCCTATCCTAACCATGCTACTTAATATTGCAACATGTTCCTTACCCCCAAACTGCAAATACTAGATATTTTATATATTTATTATGCTTATTGTTTACTATTGTTTCCCCCTACTAGTATTTAAGCTCCATGAGGGTAGGGATCTGTTTTTTTCACTGAGGTATCACAAGTGCCTACAACAGTGCCTGGCACACAGTTGGGACTCAAAAAACATTTCTTAATTTTAACTGAATTGAATTATGTATCCATGATGACAATAGAGGAAGGTAATCCCTGTATTTTCCTACCTAGATTTTATTGGTGAGATCTTTTTGTTTCCTTTTTTTTTTTTTTTTTTTTTGCTTTGCAAACGGACAGAATTTTTGGCCTCTAAGAACTATGATTTATAACTGATATACTTTTAAGATAGAAAGGTATTTTTAAGTTAATTTGCTAAAAATACAGTTAAATTTGGCTGATTAATGACAAGAGCTTATTTTTGTTTTGTAAGCACGAGTTTATAAGAAACTAGGGAAGGATAACAGAAAATACAGCAGTGGGAGAGAATACAGCAGCAGATGGGCGATGTCAGCACATTTTTAGTAGTGAGAAAACAGAAGAGTGGTTACTGATTTAGGAGAGCCAGAAGAACAGGATATGGGCAAGAGGAGGTCCCTGGGAAGGCTGAGGCCATGGAGACACTGGTCATCATGGAAGACGAGAGGCTGAAAATCTGGATTTGCTGGAATTCTGTACTTGGATCCTGAGGTCCCCTCACCTACCCCATACAGCGGGCTGCTACATATTCCTCTGTCTCATGCCTTTCTCCATTCTGTTACCACTTCCCCTCATCTCGAGACTGGAAGTTTGTTCACTGGAGGACTAGAGCTGCTCTGGAATCGGGGACACCAGACACAATAGAGACTAGGGCAAGAAGCAGGGCTAAAGTGGAGACTAAGGTAAGGCTGCATGCTGAACAGCAGGACCCTCAGCCCCCTGTGCCAGTGAAAGCCAGGCTCCACCCCTTCACCAGCCCACTCCCCCACCCCCAATTCCCGTTGGAGGAGTCTTCTCTGGAGAGACTGGATGGCACAAAAAAAGGCAGTGAAATTTGTGGATACTTGAGTGAAAAATTAAGGCCAATGACCCAAATGCTCTGCACGTGTAGACTGAGTTTCCAATCTTCAAAAAGAGAAGAGAAAATGAAGGGTAGGAAATACATGCATACACAAGACAGTTTTTCAGAATTGAAGGTAATGACTCTTGAGACTAAAAGGATCTGTGTTCTCAGCACAGTAAATACAAACAGCTAACACTTATCACGTACCTATAATGTACCAGGCACTGTTGTAAGTACTTTGTATGTATTAACTCTTAATTCTCACAAAAATCCTCTATTATTCTTATTTTACAGATGAGGAAATAGAGTCATGGAGAGTTTAAGCAAGTAAGGGCACCCAGAAAGTAAATGGCAGAGCTGAGGTTTGAACACAGGCAATCTACTTTCAAAATTAAGCTATACCAAGGAATATCAGGATAAAATATTACAACTCCAGGGGAAAAGAGAATGTCCTAAAGGTTTCTGGAGCAAGATGATAGGTCATTTACCTATATGGGAATCAGAAAATCCATAGACTTCTCACAAATATGATCAAGCAATGTCTTCAAAATTTTGAGAAAAAATTAGCTTAAGGTTCTTTGCCCAGCCAACCACCATACAAGTGTGAGGGCAAAATGGAGACATTTTTAGATACGCCAAGTGCCCTCCCTCCTCTCCCTACCCAGTTTTTAGCCATATCCTTGCAAACACACTCAACTCCATATATGTATGTTGTCAATACTCTATCTTATATCAGTTCTGGTTGCTATAACAAAAATATCACAGGCTGGGTGGCTTAAAAACAGCAGAAACTTACTGCTCACAGTTTTGGACGCTGGAAGATGACGATCAGTTGAAGATGGTGGAGGTCCTCTTCTTGGTCACAGATTGCCAACTTCTGGATGGGTCCTCACATGGCTAGGGAGCCTTGTGGGGTCTCTTTTATAAGAGCACTAATTCCATTCATGGAGCTACACCTTCATGACCTAAGCACCTTCCAAAGGCCCCACCACCTAAAACCATCACATTGGCTGTTAGGATTTCAACATATGAATTTTGAGGGGATACAAACTTTCAGACCATAGCACACCCGAATTTATATTTCTGAATCTAAACTCGCAAGTCCATTTCTGAACCTGCTTTCCCTCCAGCATTTCTTGTCTCAGTAAATGGAAACATCTAACTATTCAGTCAGAACCATCCTTGACTACTCTTTCCCTAACACTACATTCAATCCATCAAAAAATTCTGTGAGCTCTATCTTCAAACTATATCTTTTCTCACCTTCATTACCACTGCCCAGTCCAGTCCATGATTTTCTCTCACTTGGATTATTATGCACTTGCATTCCACAGTTTATTCTCCAGATAGCACCCAAATGATTTTTTAATATGTAAGTAAGATCATCTTGCTTCTCAGTTCAAAACTTCAAGGCCAAAACAAACAAACAAACAAACAAACAAAACACTTCAAGGCCTTCCCATTTCTCTCAAAATAGGCCCCATGTTCTTACTATGGTTTCCCTCAAGCAATATAGCATTCCTTGCTGGTTCATGCATATGCCCACACATGCTTCCACCTCAGGGCCTTTTGCCTGCTACGATGCTCTTTCTCCAGATATCAACATGGTTCATCCACTTCCTGACATCTGTCAGGTCTTGCTCAAATAGCATTTCCTCACAGGACATTCCTTGATTACCTTCTATAAAACAGCTCCCCACTTCTTACAGCTATTCTCTTTTGGTTTGATTATATTTTTATCATTCCTTTCCCCCTCTTTACTAGTCTGAAGTTAGATACTCTACCTCTGTTCTTTTAGTGGTTGCCCTGAAAGGTATAACATGCATTAAAAACTTTTTAACATTATAATAGTCATACAGAAAAGTGCAAACATATAAATATTTTAATGAATCTCCAAAATTAAACACATCTGTGTAACCAGCTCAGAGATTAAGAACAGAAATCATAGCATTCCAGCAGCATCCCTCTACCCCCTTCCAGTCGTTTTGCTGAAACATTCACCCAGAGTCTAGTTTCCTTGTGTACCTGTTTATCTTTAATTCTGTACTTAACATTTCTATGAAAACTTATGTGTAGGAAGAATTTAAGGCCTACAATTATAATACTTTCCTCCAGAGAAGATTTGTATTTGCTTTTGTCAGGCATAACAATTTGAGACCAACTGAAACCAAGGTCAAGACTTGAGACAGGTGATTTAACCCCAGTAATTCCACTTCCCATTCATTTTCATCCTGAGGGTGTAGCCTTTTGGGGTCCTAGTTATTGTACAGAGGGTCTTCTATTTCACTCCCTACACATTGTGTTTTATTTATTTTTTCTTCTTTGAAGGCAGAAGGAAAATCACCATTTTCCATTTAGGTGAATGTCTCAGGGCAAAAGCATCTTCCAGTGTTTCAAGTTGGATTACCTCTTCCAAGTTGGATTACCTCCCTGGATCCTGGCTTTCCAGCTTTTGGTCTGGTAATTCTATCTTGCCATCTCTTAGACACCTTGTTATGGGCTGATTGGGTGTCCCCCAAATTCATATGTTGAAACCCTAACCCCCAGTACCCCAGAAGATGACTATTTAATCACATATTTTAGTGATTAAACATAATCATTTTAAAGAGATAATTGAGTTAAAATGAGGCATTAGGGTGTGCTCTAAACCAATCTGCCTGATGTCTTTATAAGGAGAGGAAATTTGGACAGAGACACGCCAAGGGCATGAAGGCACACAGAGGAAAGACCAGGTGAGGACACAGGGAGAAGGCAATCATTTGAAGCCAAGAAGAAAGGTCTCAGGAGAAATCAACACTGTTGACACCTGGATCCTGGACTTCTGGCCTTCACAACTGTGAGAAAATACATTTCTGTCATTTAAGCCACCCACTTAGTGGTATTTTATGAGAGCTCTAGTAAACAAATACACACCTTTAAAAACATTATATATATATATATGTGTGTGTGTGTGTGTGTGTATGTGTGTACACACACACATATATATATATATATACACATGTATATTCCAGAAATTTCCTTTTAAATATTATTGTTTTCTGAGGTGGGTTGATATAAATATCCTAGCCCACAATTACCAGAGAGAGGAACTCCAGTTATCCTGTCTCCCACTCTACACGCTGCTTCCCTTTTCCTCATAGCCCTTATCACCTGGGATATTATCTATTTTTCTATTTATTTGTTTAATCTCACCGGAATTAAGATCCAAGAAAGCGGGCTGCATTTTGATAACTGCTGTATCCTCAGATCCTGTAACAATGCGGAGCAGATCGTAGGCACTGAGACAGCTGCTGAACGAATGCATGAGGGAATGAATGAGTGAATGAGTGAATGCATGAATGAATGAATGAATGAATGAATGAATGAATGACAGAAGAGGGGCTTCCCCACGGGAGAGCGGGCAGTCCACGCGGTCTCTCGCGACCACCGTCAGGAACCGCGGCCCCGCCGGGGGGCAGCTGCCCCTGGGTCTGCGCAGCCCGGCGGCGCGCGCTCC